TTTTTTTTTTTTTTTTTTTTTAAAGTAATTTGGAGAAGCTGTTGCAGCAGATAGGAGTTAAAGTTATTTTGTAAACCACCAGCTTATTACAGTTGTGAGGTATAATTTTAACACAGTTTTGGTAGTGTGAAGGTGTGTCCTTTGCGATTTCTGCGCTTTTGTCATCAAACCAACGCAACGGGTAGATTTACAGGCGGATTTGTGTAGGTTTTTCATGTTTAATTTTTCGCTTTATTTGTAACTCAGCTCCGTGCGTGGGAAGTACAGCATAAGAAGAAAGACCTCAGACTGAGAAATCGATGATCAATCACTTGGACTGCAATTAAAAGCATTCATTCTGACAAGGAGAGTAAAGGTTTTATATCAGTAGAGTCATTCGTCAATTAAATAAGTACAAGAGCTGTAATATTTTTAGTATTGTTTTAAGAACCTTAGAGTATTACCTTATGGCTTTGTTGATAGTGTAAGAGACCCTCGAGTTGGGAAGAATCCCTAACGTTACTTTGCGTTTGGTGTGTTACAGCTTAATTAACAGATCTTTTCTGTGTTTATCAAAGTAGGGCTGGAGCCAATATGAGTAATTTTGCGTGTTATTATTATGTCAAACGGTTTTCCTTTTTTGTGAGAGAATTTCTAGATTTGTAATTAGCCATCTGCTATTTTTTAACAAATTTGGTTAATTTTTTAGCTTTGGGATCTAATGTGCTGTTTTAGTCTTTTTAATGAGCAAATTGCTGCATTGAAGTATGGTTGTGATGGGGCAAAAAATTTGCAACTGCTATCGGGAATTGCTCTAAGAACCTTGGCAAATTTATTTAAAGACGACAAAGCCAATTCAGGCATATGTTTTATTTTTTTTCGATTAGTTATAAGCTGCTTGCGAATCTTGTTTTGGTCTGCAGAATTCTTTTATAGTTGACCAGCGAAACCTACTTAACATTTTTTAGATGGAGATGGCAAAATTTTTTTGCTTTTCACTTGCTTGTCACAAGCATTAGAGGATGTCTTTTGTTGCGGATATTTGTGTATTTTTAAGGTCAAGAAAATCTCTACTCATTATTTTTTTTCAATAAAGAAAAGAGCGGGAGATTCGTAAGTAATGTATGGTTTACTAGGATTTAAAGCGTAGATTATAGCCACCAGAGTGCGAAGATAGAAAATTTGAAGAGTTAGGATACTGTTTTCCTGGTTAAGTTTTTGCATTTAATGGTGTAGATTTCTATATTTTTTTCAAATTAAATGAATCTGTTTTTTATCTGGAAGTCCCAGACTACTTTGCGGCTCTATTGTTTTAGGCTGTAGAATCAGTTCTTCAATCTTAATTTTGTAGGGTAGTGAAGGATGTGTAAAAAGTTTTTAAACTTAATTGTTAGGTAGGTAAGTAGTTCTATTATTACTTTTATGAAGCTTTTGGTTTTTATAACTTTATGTCTTTTAAAGTTTTTAAGTTTGAATAGGCCTTTTTTTCGATATTGCGCGGTTATTTTGAACTAAATTAGGAAGCTGAGTAAACTTAAGAGATTCCCTTGCTTTCCAGGCAGATATTTGTTTTCATAGTTCAAATTGTTCTTTTACTTTGTCAGATCTGAACCAGTACTAGCTTTTAAAACAAAGTTTTATAAATCTTTTGTAAAAGAATCGTTAGACAGTACTACTTTGGAGTTTAAGTTTGAAAACGAAGTTTTAATTGATTGGGCGATTTATGAGTCGATTACTGGAAATTGCATATCAAAATGAAAATACTCAAGCGGATCAATGAAGTCGTAAAACTTTGTTGCTTCTGAATCGATAGTTTATATTGGTGGATGCTAATGCTGTATGGTTGAAATTTGAGAACTTTATTTTTATTGGTTTGTAACCTCATGAGTTTTTTTCATTGTGGAGTAGCATAGCCAGAAACTGGATGCTTTACAGTAGCCAAAAAAATGGTCGTTGTGGTTAAATTGAAAGATGTCATTGAACCGGTTATTGGAACTGAATTTATGATTAGAAAGATTACATCTAATATCTAATTTAGCAAATGCAAGTTTACTGCTATTTTAAGGCAGAAAGAATGATGGATTTTTAGAGACTTTGGTCTTCACAAGAAAATTCAATAACTTACATTTACTTTTGGCAAAGATCAACACGATTTCATCGCTAGAAGTTTATTGATTTTACAGGAATTGTGGAAACTGCCCGTTTTGCAAAAAAAAGCACTTAAACAATTGGGTAGATGGCATCTAAATCTCTACTCTTTGTTTTTTGCTACTATTGCAAGCTACTTTTTTGAATACATAGTGTGAAATTGCTCATGGTAAATCAAGTTTGGAACAGGGTGGTTCGCAGAGCTATTTTAAAGAACTTAGAATTAGTTCTTTGATATCGACATTGAGAGTTTGGTAGTAAAGATGGAGTTAAACATGGACATTTGATTTTTTTTTGCTACCGATGATAGGTGGCAAAGATTGTCTTTTATGTTTTGAAAAGTAAGCAGGTACTTAACAGTAAGGTAACAGTGATTTAAAGTTGAAAAAAAGTAGCAGATTACAGTAGCTACTAGTTGATAATGGTAGCGTTTTGT